GACAAAGAAGGGAGGCCGTTCTTGGGACATGGCTGTGTTGTTAGGCCGGTTGAGTTTAGTATTATTAGTTATTCCTTGTATGTCAACTTCATTGCATTTCGCTTGCCATTGCTTGTGCTTGCTTTTGAACAGAGTAAAACCCAAAGCCTGCAACCTTCAAGCCGAGCAGTGCTGCAAATCTTCCATTGTTTTGTTCTCTGTCGTTGTGATGCATTGCTGCAGCAATTGCTCAAGCTGTATTTTGCAAAGCCATGATTCTGAATTGCCGTGATGTTGCTGCTGGCCTGGAGACCTCCCTGAAGCTTCATTATCCACACGAAGATATTTTGATTTTAGGTTTTGAGTTGTTCAACCTCGATGTGGTCTTGGGCTGCTTTCTGGAGTCGAACGCCGATTCTGATTGGCTGAGAGCTATGGCCAGTACATGTGTCCTCACAAAGTACTTCATCATGGGCTTGAAAGCTGACCAACGTCCGGAAGGTGGCCCTTTTCCTCGAACTCCTCTGGACCGGCTTGCTCCTCCAGTGCTGCGGGGGGCCAACCTTCTCCGAGAGGCCGCCGGAAGGCCTTTGGGTTCGCTCTTATTTCAAGCCCAGGAGTTCCTCGAGCATCACGCGGATGTCTTCCTCCACCAGAGCGCCTGGTTCAAACTCGCCTTTGAGATTCATGAAACTTTGAAGGATCTCGAATGGGTCCCTTCACCAAGCGAGGAGAGCTAGATTTTTAATGTGAAAGCAGGCGGATCCACGTCGTCCAGTAAGTTATGGAGACTAGGCCGAGAGGATCGGAGCCTCGCTCTTGTCTCGGCCGAAATCCTTCTTCTGGAAAGTAGGCTGAGAAGTTCGGAGCCTCGCTCTTGTCTCAGCCGAAATCCTTCTTCTGGAAACTAGGCTGAGAAGTTCGGAGCCTCGCTCTTGTCTCAGCCGAAATCCAAGTAAGTTAGACAAGACACTCGATGCAACCACGATCCCATTGCTCACGAGCTTTCAAAAGGTGCGGCATGCAGAAAGCAGTATTAGTAGAGCATTAGTAGTAGTATTAGTATTAGTATTAGTATTAGTATTAGTATTAGTATTAGTATTAGTATTAGTATTAGTATTAGTATTAGTAGTAGTAGTAGTATTAGTATTAGTATTAGTATTAGTATTAGTATTAGTATTAGTATTAGTAATAGTATTATTATTACTATTAGTATTAAGTATTAGTATTAGTATTAGTATTAGTATTAGTATTAGTACTAGTATTAGTATTAGTATTAGTATTAGTATTAGTATTAGTATTAGTATTAGTATTAGTATTAGTATTAGTATTAGTATTAGTATTCGTATTAGTATTAATATTAGTATTAGTAATAGTATTAGTATTAGTATTAATATTAGTATTAATATTAGTATTAGTATTAGTATGAGTAGTAGTATTAGTATTAGTATTAGTATTAATATTAGTATTAATATGGATATTGGTATTGGTATTGGTATTGGCATTCGTATTAAAGTGATAGTATCAGTATCAGTATGAGTATTAGCATTAGCATTAGCATTAGGTATTAGTATTAGCATTAGTATTAGTATTAGTATTAGTATTAGTATTGTATTAGTATTAGTATTAGTATTAGTAGTAGGTATTAGTATTAGTATTATTCGTATTAAAGTGATAGTATCAGTATCAGTATGAGTATTAGCATTAGCATTAGCATTAGCATTAGTATTAGTATTAGTATTAGTATTAGTATGTATTAGTATTAGTATTAGTATTGGTATTGGTATTAGTATTAGTATTAGTATTAGTATTAGTATTAGTATTAGTATTAGTATTAGTATTATGAGTATGAGTATGAGTATGAGTATGAGTATGAGTATGAGTATTAGTATTAGTATTAGTATTAGTATTATTCGTATTAGTAATAATGATTCATAGCAGTTGCAGGCCATTAGCTAGTAGTCATCATTTCGTTGACGACGTCAAGGTAGCAAGCATAGTAGTTAGTAGGCGGATGGGTTAATATATAATAAATAATTAAATGCACTACGACACATGAGCCTGCGGCCAGGCTGACTTTTCCCTTGACGTCGCTGAGAGGCAACGATAAAGTCGTCTGCCGATGCAGCTTATGAGACGCGGGAAACATTTGAGAATTCTCATGCCATTATTATGCTGGTCGAGCCTAAATAAAAGCGCGTGATGTGCTGCTGCAGCTCGAGCTGTCAGTGAGTGTGCGTTGCGGTGCTGTATTATTGCATGTAATGTCTGAGCAGGACCATCATTGATGATAGTAATATGACAGTAAATCTCGGTTTCATTTTGCAATGCTTCACGATTGCGGCCGGGCTCATCATTGGTCTCTGCGTGAGTGTAGACTGACAGTCAGTCTGTCATCGAGTGCCCAGCAAGCATGCCTGGCACGAAGAGAACGGCTCTGGGTCGACCTTCCTTGGGGGGGAGCTCGAATGCAAGCAAAAGTGGGAAGAACCCCAAGCGAGCGAAGTCGGACGCCAGTCTGGGAAGTGAGATGATCGTGAGCGACATTTCACCAAATGTGGAACGCTTGAGAACATGGTTGTTCCCTGGTTCAGGCAATTACAACATTCGACGCTGAATCCGTGTCTCCTTCTAATTGACAATGTATTTCTGACAGTGTTTTCAACGTGAGGTCTGACAAGCTGAGCTCCCATCGCTCTGTCGACCGCCTCCTGCAGGCTGAGTTGGCAAACCAGGTGGGGTCACGGAGCAGCCTGCTGCGTGTGGGAGCCAACTACTATTCGGACGCCGACAACACATGTCACTCGCAGGAGACTGTTTTGGAATTCCTGCGGTTCGTCGAGGAGAAGTTTCCACCTGAGGAGGGTGTGAATCTTGGCCCCAGGACTTTCTGTGTTCGAGTGCAGCAACCTGAATTGAATTGAAAATTGTTGTGCCATGATCTGGACAGCAGAGAAATGCTTTACAATCCCAAGTCTGCTGCCAAGGACATACTGCCAGACCGTGGATCGTGCAGGTCCCACATGTCTGAGGCCCTGGCAGCTGCCCTGGTCTCCGAATGCAGGCTTCAAGGGGTACGTGGAGCCCGTGCCCGGGACGTTTTGGAGCATGTTTACGTACTCTAAGGTAGCAGTCGGGTATTGCAGGGGGCCTGGCAAAGCCTTACAATCATGCATTTGGCTGAGGACTCCCTCTATCAGCTCCTGGAACTCGTGTACATCAACGGGCCAGCATCGATGCATTTAATTTGGGATTTGCTTTATGGATTGGATGTGCAGCCGGCGAGTGTTGAGACTGACTAGAAGCCAAGGTTCCAAACAGACCCAAGCCAGGGAGGAGTGGAGGCGTTGACCATCGCGCCACAACGACAAGACAGCGGTCTGAAGAATCAGTTCGTAATCGCGTCGGATGAGATTTCAAGCTCGGCTGCGGGCCTCCTGGACCCTCAGAAAATCATTTGTGCAAAGGGATGGACGCGATCCGTGTGTGGCATTCTCATGCTCCTGCTTTGCTTCCAAGACAGCGAGTTCTACAAGGACGGGGGGGAAATTAGTAAAAGAGGGCCAGGGGGGGGGTTAAAAATGGTAAAAGGAGGGCTCTGCGCGGTAACACATGAAACGTTGCGGTCATTTTCTTTTGTAGGACGGATGCATTGCCTTCATTTAATTTGTTAAGTCATGTCTTGTCCTGCACGGAGAGGAGATGCCAGAGTTTGTCCGGAGGAGCAAGTTCATTGCCGTTCATGTTCAGGGCTAGATAATAATAAGTGAATGCATGCAGAGACGATGCAGGACGTTTGCCACTGTGCACTGCGTGGTGATGCCGGGGAACTTGGACCCGGGCAGCCTCATCCTGAAGAACCGCAGTGCCACGGCATTTAACGAAATGTGACGGCAGACTTAGCACAATTTGATTTCAGCATTGGGATCTGAATCATGCACATCCATGACAGGTGTGACCATGGCTTCGGCGATAAGGAGGAAACCAAACTGCTTCAATTTGGTGCATCAGATCGTGCTGGTCAAGAAAATGAAGTGCGAGGACGTTGGGTCGTTGGAGGACTGGTTTCATGCGTTTGCTGACTTACAGACTGACTGCCATACCATTGGCCGTCTGAATCTGAGTCTTATTGTACCTTGTAACGCTTGGAGGCGTGGGAGCATGCGGCCAAAGAAGCGGAGGCGTACAGAATTGGAAGTCTTGAAAGCAAAGCCGCCCTGCAGCTGTTGACCGCCGTGGATGGCCCAGTCTTCGAGAAGCTGAGCGACATGGTGAGGACAGCCCATACTTGTGGAAACTAGGCCGAGAGGATCGGAGCCTCGCTCTTGTCTCGGCCGAAATCCAACGGCTTAGGACCTTAAAGTTCTCACGGAAACTAGGCCGAGAGGTTCGGAGCCTCGCTCTTGTCTCGGCCGAAATCCAACGGCTCAGGACCTTAAAGTTCTCACGGAAACTAGGCCGAGAGGTTCGGAGCCTCGCTCTTGTCTCGGCCAAACTGAATTCCAACGGCCATGGACGTTAAAGTGTTCTCACGCACGGAAACTAGGCCGAGAGGTTCGGAGCCTTGTCTCGGCCGAAATCCAAGGGCCTTGGACCTGTAAGTCCATGTTCTTCGAGGACCTACGGGATGAACAAGATACTCAATCATGAGCCCATCGCTGACGGCCTTTTCAACAGAGATTACTGCGCGGCCAGCGGGCAGTTGAAGCCATGGGCTGATATCTTGAGCAATACACCGCAGTCCCTGGAGCTCACGCTGCACCGCATGGAGGAAGACTACAAGAACCTGCACGTGAAGATGCGCAAACCCTTTGCCTCAAAGGACGTGGAACCTCAGCGGCTACATAGTACAAAAAGCTCATCCTAGCCTGTTCTGGAAGTTTCAGTGTCGCGATACATTAGGCTTGTCGTCTGGCCTTGAAAATATCGCAGCTTGCGTCGCTGAGGAAGCCTGCTTGAAACGTTGCGCCCTGTTCCTGGCTGCTCTGGTACGTGCTCACGAGTACTTTCCGAAGGGCTTGATGGATCGCGAAACAGGAAATCTCACGAAATCGTTTCAGTTGCTGCAAGAAGACTGCTAGGTCTGCTTTGCTACGGGTTTGGCAAAGCTCAGTGGGTGCGTTTTTTTCTGGTCCTGGTTCACCCTGAGGTTCATGCTCCGACATTTGGATGCAGACCTGGAGAATTTGCTAGAGCAGTCGGTGCCGCCGGTGGACCTCAGCATGCTGGCCTGCTTCCGCGGCATGATGTTGAAGCTGAAGAAGGAGGCTTGCAAAGAGCGGCACGGTTCCCGTGGGAAATAAGTAGTCTGATAATTTGCATATTATATTATTATTTGTCTGCTGTTCAGTGTTATTGTAAGTTGTTGCAGCTTTGTCCGTCTCACTGAAGATCAGCTGGCAATATTTAATTGCAGGCAATTTGAGATGTGTATCACTATTACCTCAATTCATTTATCATGTCAAACACGACGTTGCAACTACTTTGTGCTGCTGAGCCTGGGAATTTGTTGTAACGTGTTGAGAGGCCGAGGAAGAGCAACTTCTGGAGTCAGAAAAGCCGGGAGCCCACTGATTTATAGGACACCGTGCGACAATGACTAATGACAAAGCATTGGATGATTTGCCGAGGCTGGCGGCGCAGATGGCCGCTGCAACAGCTCAGCAAGCTGAAGCCAAGGTGGAGGATGATCTTGTGAAGCTGACCAGTTACTTTGAGGAGAAGAAAGCCTTGGCCAACAGACAGGCAAGCCGTGGTTCAGCAAGTCAAGGTCCCCAGAATGCAAACTGAGGACCTCTAATAAAAGCCATTCAAGCCCTCCAGCCGCAGGGCGGGCTCGATGTACGGTTTCTGGCTCAGCGGTACCAGAGAGGCACGAAGGAGGTCGAGAAGATCATGGAGGAGAAGCATGAGTACAGGTCTTTCCCAAGCGGCCTGCTGGAAGCCCATGCGCATCTTTTGCAACTCATCACGCGCTTGACAAGTACGCCACAGCACGAGGACACCGACCCGTTCCTGGGATGCTTAAGGTGCATGACATTCTGAGGCCCTGCTTGCGGCCTCTTTAAGGCTGACTGTCTGAGGCTCATCATCTTCATTATCGACGTGACAGCGTGGCCGTTCCAGCGCACCTTGCTTTAACTTTGCACCTTGCTAATCCGTGAACCAGTTCTAAATTTTTGGTGCTGCCTAGTGGTGACATTAAATTTTCGGAGGCCCAATTGTGGTGGATGAAGCCGTGGACTTGGCAAAGAACATCAGCAATGGCAACGCCAATGCCGTGTTGTTCAGCCTGCTTCCCATGCAGCACAGCTCCGGGACCCAGCAGACCGTTACGAAGTGCAAACGGCAGATCGAGGACAAGGTGATGCAGCTACTTGGGTCATTATTTAAATGTGCCGCATCCCAAGGTCTTAGGGCATCGTATGGTCATGGATTGTGGTCGGACATTGAGTACTTATTAAATTAATTCATCACCTACAACTACTACTGAAGCTGCTTTGCTCGAGCAGTGGGTGGTGGCTAGGTCGGCACTGCTGGGCTGAGCATTGGGAGCGTGGCCACGCCCTTCGGGTCATGGCATGGCGCTCTGAGGCGTCCTCTGCGGGGCTGGTCGGGCAGGGCTTTCATTGACGATCCAGCACCGAGTGGGGGTCAAGGGCGACGGGCATGAGGAGGCAGCTGGGCATCATGGGAGTGCAATTTGCATTGAAATCAGCCCAAGCTCGGACGGTGCAGCTGATCATTCCATCTGAATGGCACCTCTTGCGCTCGTAAATCACTTTCGGCCTGGGTCTTAGAAGCTCAAGACTTAGACTGTGGTCAGATTCAGTTCTTGATGGCCACACACAGAGCGTGTAGCAAGCCAGGCAGGCCGTGTTGCCAACAGGGTCTGCTTGGCTTGCGACGCACTTGTTATCTGGATCTATTGGAGGTTGAGCAAAACAGGTACAAGGACCTTCAGGTGCAATACGATGCATTGCAGGCCCTCTGCAGTTCTTCTTGCCCAACGAGCTGCCTTTTCTGCAGACCCCCGGAGTTCCAGAAGTCGCAGCACGGCTTTGTCTTGGCATTGGGCGTGTTTCCAGGCCACCACAGAAGGACAGGGCATGGCCATGTCACGCCAGAAATTGAAACTCACGTCGCTGGTCGATGTTGTTGTCTGCAGCCCACATGGTGCAGCTCGGAAGAGAGAGAGATCGAGGCACAATGTCCCTCGATCTCCTTTTTCTTCTGGGCTACGCAATGTGCAAGCGGCAGGCCACTCCAATGGATTCTCACACTGAGTGTCACTGGGACTGGCAGCAACAGTGGAACATCGCTGCCGATGGACGTTGTTACTGCAACTGTACCAGTCCGCTACTCGCGAAGCCGGACTGGTTAGGAGAAACGTCATCATAATATGATGATGCTGCTCCTCACCAGTCCGGCTTCAACGCGACTGTTGCCGAGTGCATCTACACATCAAGAGCGACAGCGAGGACAAGCTTTGCCTTGCTGTCGCTCTTGATTTGTAGACACCACAGACAGATGGCAGCTGCTGTTAGTTAGTCGGCGTTAAGTATTGAAGTCCGGATAGTAGGCCGAGAGGTTCGGAGCCTCGCTCTTAGTCTTGGCCTCAATCCGAGGATTTTGCGCATGTCACAGCCTGCCGCCTCACTGTTTGCTAGCCAGGAAAAAACCACAGATCAGATATGGAAAGTAGGCTGAGGGGATCGGAGACTAGGACTGCGAGTGAGTATTGCGGCCACCGCGACCACTGACTATCAGCGGTATTACTGGTTACTACTACTACTACTACTACTACTACTACTACTACTACTACTACTACTACTACTACTACTACTACTACTACTGCTTCTACTGCTTCTACTGCTACTACCACTACTATAATTACTCTGATTCTGCGAATGTTGTACACTGTACAGCAACCATCCCGTCATTTGTTATGTTTCTGTAACAAGTGTCAAGCTAAGCGCCCATTGTCATCTGTGCCAAGGACAATGGATGTCTATGAAGGGAGCTTGGGTTTCAGAGACTCAGGGCACGGGAATGACCGTCGCAGACGATCCCAGACCTGCCATTGCCCGAGACAGCTTGAAATTATCTCCTTGCGTGCGGGTCTTATGTTTTTGAACTTTGTGCACTGCGTGCCAAGGCATCCTCAGTGTGAGCACCATTCACCGGAGCTTCGCATTCCAGAGAAGCAAAGCCATGCTCGGAGCTCTCGGCCCGGTTTCCCGGGCACGTGTTTGTGACCTCTGGGGGGACGAGGACAACAGGACTACGCCACTCCAAAGAGTGCCTGGCACTGGAGAGAAAACTATGTATGACAGTCAGCGTCGCCAAGCCATTTAAAGTTTTCACCAAGCCTGATCGTGTAAGTTTAAGGTCCAACAAAGAGGAGTTCGGGGAACGAGGGAGACTTTGATGGGACTGCTGGAGAACATGTCCGTGCCGTCAGGGAAGCCAGTCATTGTGGCCGACTTGGTTCCCAACCAGATTCTGGACCTAAAATCATTCAGTGAGTGAGCTTTCATCTACTATAATATTACTATTATGATTCATGTTACTTATTGGGTTATGATTGTGATGGGGTGGTTGGTGTGGTGGTGTTTCTGTTCTGAGTCTTTTTCTGGACTAAGTGTGACTCACTGAAGAATTATTCAATGGGTCAGTCAGTCAATTTGAATTTTGACACATTGTGGATGCATTTGCTCCAGGTTCAATGAATGGGGACGTGCAATTGCCGAAATGCAGATTGAGAAGTTCGACAATCCGACAAGTTGCTACAACTGGCACTTCGTCAGCTACCCTCATCCAGATGACTTGGATGCAACAGCTTTGCAGCAGCACATTGCTGGTGTCTTCATGAATGTGTGGTCCTCGGTCTTACTCTTCCGTGAATGAGTTTGACCGACAGATGATGACTCAATCCCTGACCTCGTCGCAGGACTGGTGGGATACTTCAAGTCAAGCTGGCCCTAAAGTTCGTCCACAGTCTGACACCGAACGCCTTGTCGTGCCAAGCTTGGAAGTCTTGTCGCTGGACACAGACTTCAAGGTGACGACACTTGCCTCATGATAATTGATTGAGTCGTCTGTCCTTGGTTTGAGAATAATAGAGCTCGTCGCTTCCTCATGGCAGTGAAGGTTGCCGGAATCGGTGAAGTCAGCACTGGGCACCAGCAAATCCGAGTCTTTGCAGAAGAAGGTGAATGCCCTGAATCTGCAGTCGACTCCTCTGGGAAGCAGTACTCGCGCAGCCGTCTCTGGAGCAGGGGCAGGGCAAGCTGAAGGGAGGACGGGCAACAGGAATGTTGCCAGAACGCTTTGCCGCCCAGAGTTCAGCCCCGGAGCTACCCCCCCGGATCTTCTCCGAACCCTGGTATTGGACATGATGTCAGTTGGCGAGCTCGAGGAAAAGTTACAGCGCCTACACAAACAAGAAGCTACGTTTGATTTTTCGGTTAGAGCACAGTGGCGGGAAGTCTGCAGCCTTCGACACTGCATTGAGGTCCTTCGTCCAGGCTCCCGCATCATCTTGCGACAAGATTGATGTCTTTATCGAGACTGGCACCGAGCCAGGAATTTACCTTGGCAACACGAGCGAAAGCGAGACTGTGACGATGGAAGCCGGGGAGTTGTGCGGTTTCAACCTTGGAAGCTTCGTGGAGAGAGCGCAAGGCGCGGCATGGAGTCTCCCTGTGAGTGAGTTTCACTGTCTTTGTGTGACCGTGACAGGCCCGCTTGAACATATTCCTGCCATGCAACAGACTATAATAGTTAGTAAAGTTTCATGTTTAATGAATAAATCGGAGGCATGGCACGGAACAACAAGGACAAGCACTTGCCGTTTATGTTGGAGAATGATTGGTCCTTGGTCGTGTTCCTCGACCCCGTCCGTGGTAAGGTAGCCATGTCTGTGGCAGACCTCGTGTGCCACGCAACCCAAACGCATGGAATCACGGAAGTGAACCTTGTGGACCACATGCTCCAACAGATGCTCGAGGCAAGACTTGAGTCTCAATGAGTGCTAGAATTCACTGTTGGAGACGTGTTGAATGGCCCGAGTTATGGCAGGACGATGGTGTCTCGCTGAGGATGTTTCGCTACACATTGGAGCCGAATGCCAAGTTGAATTGCTTTGAGCCCAAGGCTCTGGAGGAGGGTGCCGATGCCAGGTCCTCTCAACTTGGGGCTGCTATGCGTGGTCGCTTCACCAAGTACCCTTTGAGCGGCCCCAACTGTGCCTTGTTGTGGGAGGCACGACGCGGGTTCAAGTTGAAGTTGATGTTTCATCTCTGACTCATAATAAGTCAGTTAATGTGAGATATTATTCTTATTATTATGTGATAGTGACTGAAGTGACAGGTACGGCTGGACCAGGGCGTTCCATGCCAAATCGTGGCCGTGAAACCAAAGCTTTGGCTTCTTGGCGAGTTGAAGCTGGCGCCGCTGACATGCGCAAAGCTTGTGTAGAGCCGGGCAGATTGGACTTGGAGACAATTTGTCTCCAGCTTCGGCGGCCGAAGCTTCTTGTGAGCAAGTAGAATTGAATTAAAACCGGTCACCATGATCATGACCTGTCTCCCGGAAGAAGTTTACATTGAATTGGCCTCCGGAAGCTCGGTCCGCCATCAATTTGGATTGACACCTGATTATCTGTACGATGCGCTGGGCCACAGCAGGCGATGCTGCCAGCAGCGAGTGTAAGCCCGATTTTAAGGAAAGTAGGCCGAGAGCTTCGGAGCCTCGCTCTTGTCTCGGCCCAAATCCAAGGAGTTGGCGATGCTGCTGGCAGCCAGCGTAAGCTTGATTTAAGGAAAGTAGGCCGAGAGCTTCGGAGCCTCGCTCTTGTCTCGGCCCAAATCCAAGGAGTTGGGAGCAG